TATAATCAAAATGGATTAAAGAACATTGCTTAATTTCTGCTGAGGCAATCTAGATTTTCGAAATCATTCATGACTTGAGTTGGACTCCTTTTAAAATTTATTCTCAAGTTGTTCCAATTGTTGGAACATATGTCAAGGAAAACAAATCACTGAACACCAGCATCACTGTCACATGTCTGAAAAGCATGGAACTTAGCATACATTCTCCTTATTTCAGCAAATGGCACTGTTTATTACATAGTCTACAGAATTATTCAAATCACAATAAGTTAAATAATTAATTTTACATTCCCAGTATAAACATTTTGTTTTTATATCCATAATAACAGACCGGTATAATCTAAACAAATTAGAACACTGTAATGTTTCTGTGATTAATTTCTTAATTCTGATTAAGATATTTAATTTCATTTAATTTACAGAAACAAAAATATGACCAAATTGCACATGCTGTAGAAATCTAATTCCAATACCATTATTCTCATGATAAGCCAGACATGATGGTATATTCATGTCATATTTAATCTAATTAGATACATATTTAGTTACTTGATATTACCATCATCCAAACCGAAATTGCCAGTTCCATTACATCTCAGATATATGTTTAAAAGTCTTAATTCAACCTCCCTCAGGCGTCCTCCAAGTCTGGTACTCTGAGTTAGCAAGAAAGTCAAGGAACAGCCAAGTTTGAAAGTAAAGGAATAACATTGTGTTCTGCGGCTGGCATTTGGCTAAACAGGATAATATACAAAACAGCCAGCCATGGCTGTGCCAGACAGTGTTTATATGCAGGAAAAACAGTCCCTGGATAGTATATAAGCCAATCAGATCCATGCTATGCACCATGACAGTAGGGGTTCGAGCTGAGTCACTTCACTAGTGCAACACAAGAGTTATCTCCCCTAGTAGTTCACTTCCTGTGTCACCTAATGCAATTGTTCTTGTCAGTTTTTTGAAATCGTTCTTGTTTGTTTTTGGAATGCTTCTTATCAAGTGTTGCGTTATTCTAGTCTATTCCTGTAATTGAACTTGCCACTTTATGCACCGCTTCATGTTTATGAACTGTATAGTTTTTGCTGGTTAAAATTCTTTCATTTTTTTTGTAAGTTAATAACTGTCAGATATGCAACCAATCTTCTCCAAGAAATATTTGCCCTATTGAAATGAATATAGCTCTTCATTTTTATCTCATAATGGTATACATATATTATGCCAGGTATTGTTTCTGTAGTCAACAAAATGCAGTATTTGTCATTTATTCATTAAGATAAGATAAGATAAGATATTTATTGCGCAAACGTTCCATGCAGAAACAGTGAGAATATTCTATAAACTACATATTTGTGTCATTTTCTGAAGATAATAACTATTATTGAAAAACCTATCCTCTATGAATGTGCTCAATGCAATGCTGCCGCATTTCCCACCAGTATTTTTGGCTTAATGATGCTTAAAAACATTGATGTATTTGTTCATCGTGTGATGACAAAAAGAATCATAATCATCCACTAACTGAGACCAGGATCCTGCACTGAATAGCATGTTGCTTCTTCTTCAACATGATTTACAGAATAGATACATTTTCTGCAAATCCAATCCATTAGATGACTCATTAATTTATTTTTTTAACAATTGTAACACCTAAACACTCTCTAGCAATTTTTTATTCATTCAAGCACTACATAAATCCCTCCTAGTTTCGTTAGGGAAATAGTCTAAAGCTTTGGAATGCACTTAAGGAAACCCATAACTGCCAAACATCAGCTCCGGTACTTCAGCAAGTCTAGATAATTCAAGCTGGCCAATATGTTAACCTGACATTAACACACATACTGACATATAACAAGTTTAGAAAATCTCAAGAGCCATAATAATCTTTAGGAAAACTTAACCAAGTCTGGGTAGTTGAAGTGCTCAGGCTGACGTGTGAGCCTCTCAAGATTGCCTGACTGACATTATCCATACAGCAACATGAAGCAAGTCTAGGTAGTCTGGAGTGCACCAGCATGATGGCAGGGGAGATAAGGGTGGTACGGTACCTGGTCTGATTACGCAGCAGCGCTGACTACCCCTGTACAGCTCTCACAGCTTTCAAAATTCAGGAACCTACACCAAACACTGATTTCACCTAAAAGCCTAGTTTTCCCCTTGGAAATGACTGTTTTCGAGTCAAGCCAGCTAGTTGTTCTCAGAGGCCTGTTCACGAGCCCCTGGGACAATGCCGCTTCTTGAGCACTGGTGGAGCCAGGGTTCTCCTCTTGTTCGGGCCTTATCATCTGCAATACAATATTCTTCATTTCTCATTCATGCCAAAGAAATAAACTGATTCATTTCTTGACACAACTTTTTGCTGTCACTGATAATTTCAGGAATGGCATGTAGAAGTGCAGTCAGATGTTGCTTGCACAAGAGAGAGGAATCGTTCTGATGATTTAATCTCAGAAATTGCTGCATTTAGAAACAAGATTTAGGTTCAAAACTGGAGGAAACTAATGACATTATTATCACTGTGAGATAGCGCTGATCAAGTGATAATTAGCGGAATCTTTACTGAAATATACGGTATTTGATATTTTTAACTTTGGTACAGCATTTTTGGCTTTATTTATTTGACAGGGAGAAGGCTCAAATTGTAGTTTTAAGCTTGTTTCTTTTCTTTTATGTTTAAATAATTTTGAATCTTCATTCTGTACCCATAATCAGCAAATCTACTGATGATCATAATTAACTTACTAGTGATAATGATTTAAATTCAACTAACTGATGTTTATGTTTCAACTTGAAGATAATCTTGATTTACTTACCAATCATCATGATTCACTGATGATCATGTTTTACCTTACTGATGATCATGACTCACTTTACTGATGATAATGATTTATCTTACTTATGATCATTATTTACCTTATTGATCATGTTTTACCTTACTGATGATGATTTACTGTACTGATGATCGTAATTCACTTTACTAATGATCATGATTCACCTTATTGGCCATATTTATTCAATTAACTGATGATCATGATTCACCTTACTGATGTTAATTATTATAGACATTTTTGATGATCATGGTTTACCTTACTGACGATCATTATTTTCTTACTGATGCTGATTTACTGATGCTGATTTACCTTACTGATGCTGATTTACCTTACTTACTGATGCTGATTTACCTTACTGATACTGATTTACCTTACTGATGCTGATTTACCTTACTGATACTGATGCTGATTTACTGATGCTGATTTACCTTACTGATGCTGATTTACCTTACTGATGCTGATTTACCTTACTGATGCTGATTGCTTTACCTTACTGATACTGATTTACCTTACTGATGCTGATTTACCTTACTGATACTGATTTACCTTACTGATACTGATTTACCTTACTGATACTGATTTACCTTACTGATGATGACTTACCGTACTGATGACCATAATTCAACTTATAGTTGACCATAATTCACTTTACTGATGACCATGATTCACCTTATTGGCTATATTTATTCAATTAACTGATGATCATGATTCACCTTACTGATGATCATGATTCATCTTACTAATGATCAAGATTCATTATCATGATTCACCTTACTGATAATCATAACTCGCCTTACAGCTGGCAATAATTCACTTTAATGATGATCATGTTTTACCTCACTTATTATCATAATTTACCTTACTGATAATCATTATTCACCTACTGATGATCATGACTCATCTTACCAATGGCCCAAAGATCATATTTAACCTTACCAGGGATCATGACTCACCTTACTGATTACCATGGGTCAATGATAATGTACATTTACCTTGTTGAATAAATGTTTCACCTTATCAATGATCATGATTGACATTACTAATGATCATGACTGACTTTACCAATGATCATGATTGACCTCACTAGTGATCATGATTGACCTTACTAATGATCATGATTGGCCTTAATGATAATGACTGACTTTACTAATGATCGACCTTACTAATGATCATGATTGACACTACTTATGTTCATGATTGACATTACTAATGATCATGATTGATATTACTAATGATCCTGATTGGCCTTAATGATCATGACTGACTTTACTAATGATCATGATTTACCTTTTACTAATGATTATCACTAATTTATCATGATTGACATTACAAATGATAATGATTGACATTACGAATGATAATGATTGACATTACTTATGATAATGATTGACATTACTTAATGATCATGATTGACATTACTTATGATCATGATTGACATTACTAATGATCATGATTGGCCTTAATGGTGATCATGATTATACCCATTGATCATGAGTCAGTGTATACATATATGATGATTATAATTCAACTAAATGAATATATGTTTCCAGATTAAAATAGAACATTGCTAATTAATTTGATTACACATCACGGCGGGGGACACCAGAAATGGGGTTCACACATTGTGCCCATGTGGGGATTCGAACCCGGGTCTTCGGCGTGATGAGCCAACGCTTTAACCATTAGGCTACCCCACCGCCCCTAAATGCATAAAACCAGTGTGTAAAGGGATAAACATACATCTGGTTTCCTCATAACAACACTTGTTTAGAACACACATTATATTTCATACATCTCAAAAACAGGCCACTCTGATTATAATCTCAGTAGAATTAAAAGAATTAAAAAAAACCAAGTTCAGCGACTTGTGCCCCCAAAATAAGTATTTGCTAACATAAGCCACTTTTGTTTTTCTCCCACAGATGTTTAACAGATAGGAAGCGAATTCAAAAAATGACATCCCTCAATTATGACCAATTAAATTTAACCCAATAAACTGCCACCAGTGAAATAACATGTCAAATCGACACATGTCATCTCCGTTAAAACATACTGCTTACTGACAACTAGCTATGTCTTCTATGCAGACCCCTCTGTTCAACAGTGACTAAACATCTTGCATTCATATGGAATCAGTTCTCAAGAATGTAGGTTTTGGGACCAAATTTGACTTACACTGGCATGTGTACACCTAGTGCCCCCTATCACAGGTTTGGGTATTCTTCATGTTGACAGGGCAGGCAATCTGAGACAATCCGGCTGAAATCAAAAGTGAACTTGATAAATTGGCACCACTAAGGGGATGTCGGCATTGGGCGCTATGGTGAGAAATAAACAGAAGACAAGCGATGAAGTTAGATTGGCTTTTTTTAGATGTGTATTTAAAAACAATTAAGGTTTTGGCATGGTTTCAGATGGTGATATGATCTTAGGAAACAACAGAGATAAAACGATTATGAAATTTGGAATTTTTGAAAAGTTATCTATGATTGTGAAAATTTGCCACCTATTTTAATATGATGAAATGTTGACTGCAATTACCATAGCAACTGAAATATTGAAATATCTAATAAGACACGCAGTAATGGTTTGTCTACGAGAATTAAAGGCCCCCCTAAAGCTGGCATATCTTCAAGTTCAGGAATTTCATCCCAAATTGTTTTTAAGAAAATAGCTCACAGTTTTTGTTCCAAAGAATCGTCAGTTTTGGACAGTTCAACAACTGGAATCATAATGTATAATGAATTCAAGAAGAAAGAACGTCCTCTATAAACATGTTGTTTATGCAAGATGACAGTACTGAGGGAAGAAAACGCCATTGCACTTTAACACCACTGAAGTCAATAAAACAACTATAATACACATATGTATAAAATAAACAGGATGACAGAAAACATATAACATGGGAAAATGAATTAGAGTGTGTGAGTCTGCTTTTAAGAGTATATTGCAGTTAGTTCAGGCAGCTTGGTGAGGGAGAAAAGCATGTGATGCAGGTCTCACGTGTTCAGCGTGTTAAAACAAGTGAGGCTCACAAACCTAGATCAGGTAAATTTGGCAAATAAACCATCGATCCATAAATCCAAGATGATAATTGTTGGAAATGATAATACATACTGCAATAAAAAGTGTGGAGAAACTATAGGTCACACATTTAAAATTGCTCATTTTGAGATTTTCTTGAAGTTTCAAATGATGGCTCTCTTGAATAATTTTAACCATATTTCTGTTGATCTTAAGATGAATCTAAAACTATAGAAGTAGAAGAAAAAAAAGAGGTCATTCTTTATGAACATTGTCTGCTAACATTCATAACTTACAATTCTTTCTGTAACATTACAGTTAACATTTCCAGCAGGACAAAAATGACCCTTATCAGAACTGAAATTTTTTAAGAATATTTTTGATATATTTATAAAAATCATGAATTTAAAAAATAAGAGATTTACAGAGTGTCACTTGGGTGCGACATGCACTTAATATTTCAGAATATAAATATCACTGTATCAAGATCCAAATTTTGATTTTATTGATTTATCTACTACGGTAGTTTATCTCTTCATCTGTAATAACCTTTGCATATTTCAGCTACAGTGACGTTAATGTGTTTAGAAACAGTAGCATGGCATGTTCAAGCAAGACAAGTATCTCACAGTGATGGGAAAATCCCTCCACTTATCATTTAACTTATGTTTATTTGTTTCCGACAGGATGTGAATTTGAGGTTACCACCCCCAAGGACAACCGGTTCTCCATGATATTTTCTAGTACACACTGCCACAGTGACATTTCTGTAAAGGGACTTGCTATAAGCATGAGATCAGGTTTATGTCTGTCTTAGAACATTGATATGTTTTGGCATATTCCAAAAGAAAAATAAGTTTCTAAAAGATTTTTTATTGCATTTTTTAACAGGAATATTTCAATTTCTAATTTAGTCTTATTATTTCTTTGTTTGACTGTTATTATCATTAGCATTATTTGTAAAGCATGCTTTCAAATTTATGACTGCACAAACGCGCTTGTGCCATGATACATCTTACTATTACCCTGGTCACAGGATCAGTGGGCACTTGATATTAATTCTCAGCTCCCTGGGGAGATTACAAACCTAGACCTGTGAAGATCCGGGTTAGAACTTGTCTTCAGTAACCCATGCTTGTTGTAAGAAGCGACTAATGGGATCGGGTGGTCAGGCTTGCTGACTTGGTTGACACGGATCCCAATTGCATAGATCGATGCTCATGCTGTTGATCACTATATTGTCAGGTCCAGACTCCATTATTTACAGACCACCGACATACAGCTGGAATATTGCTGAGTGCAACGTTAGACAACAAACCAACCAAAGTATACAACCCTAGCAGCCCAAGAGGTGTAACTACATTTTCTCCTTATATGAGGGATGGTGGGGTAGCCTAGTGGTTAAAGCGTTGGCTCGTCACACCGAAGACCCGGGTTCGAATCCCCACATGGGTACAATGTGTGAAGCCCATTTCTGGTGTCCCTTGCCATGATGTTGCTGGAATATTGCTAAAAGCGGCGTAAAACCAAACTCAGTCAGTCAGTCCTTATATGATATATCATTGACAATGGATTCTGGGTTAAGACAGGTCACTTGAGTCACTCATGCTTGTCCTGCAAGGTGACTAAATGGATGGGTGTCTCGGTAAATTGTAGGTCATTGTACCTGGATGTTATTCATTATGTTGAGAACTGGTAACTCTGGGTCAGACTGATTGTTTATGGGCTTCTGTCACACAGGGGGGTCAGAGTGTGGCGTTGAAAAGCAAACAAACAATTCATTACTGAGTCCTGTGTGAGAAACTACAATGAACATCTTATTATGCAGACTGGTTCTTGGCAGTCTTTGTGTTGCATCATGTTTATTTTGTAATCTGGTCTGGCACATCCACGTTTATCGCCAGAGACCATACACCAACATCTTATCGCCTTTTTATTAAAATTTATGGATATAATTTAGAAACATTTTTCTGTAAAATGTTTATTTCAGACAAAATGTTAATCTAGCAGACCCTGACTTGTCTTATTCTGTGAACATAATAATGACAGTAAGTAAGTCTAGATTGTATGCACATTATGTTTATGTTATAATTAACTAGAGTGAGTGAGTGAGTTTAATTTTACGCCGCTTTTAGCAATATTCCAGCTATATCACGGCGGAGCACACCAGAAATGGGCTTCACATATTGTACCCATGTGGGGAATCGAACCCAGGTCTTCAGCGTGACGAACAAACGCTTTAACCACTACGCTACCCCACCGCCCCTAATTAACTAGAGGTTAACTATGATACTCCATAGTCCTTGTACTATGACAGCATGGGCCAATGCTGACACTATCAATCACTGTTTGTCTGGTGAATATTCAAGTAATTACATACTACTCTTGTATTGGAATATTGCTGTAAAATGTAAAATACTTCTTTCTGACATAATACACAAGATTTATTTAGATACTTATATTTTCATTAACTCAAAGTCTGAAGTATTTTGCATGATACCGTGCACCATTGGATAATCTCAAGAATGAGATACGAACTGTTTCACTATAACAACTCAAATAAAAAATTGCAAGATTCTTGTGCAAGTGGTTAAATATCACCACATTTTGTGCATTTTGAATCCATGAATCAAAGCCTTTGGCCTACGGAGGTGATGCAAATGGTCTGCATCAGGGTTATAGTGGAATGCATTGTGTAGCTGACTGCCATGCACTGAATAGAATACATGTCATTGTGGAAGGAATGGTGCTAGGGTTGACTGAAGTCAATCAGTGTCACACTACCAGGCAGTGTTCCATTCATGGTACTTGGCGGCCAGGTGGGGACTCCAGCGTACTCAAAAGCACCACATTGGCAGTTCAGTGTATGCTAGTTTCTTTTAAAGCTCTCATGTGCATTCCTGATCTCACAAGCAATATCTTGCCAGATTGCAGATATGAATCACATTGCCTTATACCAGTTGGCTGTGTGCAAGGAATATATGGATCATACGGCCATACATGTAATATCATGATAACAGGAAAACATGGATCATAGTGTAGAGTATATGCAACATGTTGCCAGCAGGAAGGATGGTTCATACTGCCATATATGCAATATCACATTAATAGGATGGTATGGATCACATTGCAATATATGCAACATGTTGCCAGCAGGAAGGATGGTTCATACTGCCATTTATTACCCACGTGGTCAACGTATGGGTAGTTGCATACTAATCTCGTACGTCACACGAGTGTCATATCGCGTTGACCTCTGTCGTAACGACTTGACCTGAGATTCTAACGATTTGATTGGATAACCGATGACCTCTCAATTAGGTCACATTCTGACGTAACTATTTTTTCATTCATAACAAACACGTGAATTCATTCATTCTACAACTTAAATGCATTGTGGGAATGTAAACATCGCGAACGTTGCCGTGTCGCTGTTTAATTATGAGTCGAACTGAGACATTATATCCGTCGAAAAACGTAAACGCAATGTTTCCACCAGTGATGTTAGCGAATGTAGCAACTGCAAACCAAGAAGCGGGGTGCTCTGACGGAGTAGTTTACTGTAGGAAGCTGTGCGGCGATGACAACTGACATGAATCGTGGCGTCGGTTACCAAGGCAGTGGCGTCATTACAGTGTGACGTCATGCAAATATTGTACTACAGTACAAAACTCTTCAGCAACCTCTTTATGAAACTGGTTTCGGTTTGAAACCAAAATATTAACAAAAATACGCTATTTTGTCAGTTTAATGCATGTAAGGCGTGGGTAATAAATAAAATACCACACTCGGTCTCATTACATACGAATTATCTGACGAAACTTGTGACCTTCCTATGTTATCTGACCTCGCTTTAGCTCGGTCAGATACCATAGGAAGGACACTCATTTCGTATAATTAGTATGTAATGAGACCTCGTGTAGTATTCTCTATATATGCAATATCACATTAAAAGGATGGTATGGATCACATTGCAATATATGCAACATGCTGCCAGCAAGAAAGTTGGATCATATTGCCATGTATGCAATATCACATTAATAGGATGGTATGGATCACATTGCCATATATGCAATATCTTGCCAGCAGGAAAGATGGATCATACTGACATATATGCAAAATCTTGCCAGCAGGAAAGATAGATCATACTGACATATATGCAATATCTTGACAGCATAGATCATGCATATATCTCTTGCCAGCAGGAAAGATAGATCATACTGACATATATGCAA